GGACAAAGGGTATCGTGGCAAAAGTAACCACACAGATATCTGCAAATATGTGAACAGGGGAAGGCCTTTGATAGCATCTAGTTTTAACTTCTTTTGTTGGTTAATTGAGAACTCAGAGAGAAGAAGCAATGTTAAACAAACAAACTAGCAGAGGAGCCTGTTGTCCACATCTTTTTCCATCCCATATTCTCTAGAAGACTCTACCTGTTTAAATTATCGGCCAGAAACACAATATACACACAGCAGAAGCCCAGCTGTCACGAGATAGAGGAAAGGCGTTTCACGCGAGTACGCCTGGAAGACACGGGGGTGTGATGTGAGAGAGTTGGAAAGAACGGTTGGTGTATGTAAAGAGAGGAGCCAACTGGTGGGTTGCGCGATTTCTTGGCGCGCGAGGATGTCGGTGCGCGCCCTGCGTTCCTTCGAGGGTTGGGTGGCCCGTGACGCAGCGCCCTCAGCCGTTCCACCACAATGCAAACGATCAAGACAGTGAAGGGTAAAGAGCAAGAGCTGTGGACAAGGCGGTTTTCAGACGTGGAGGCCGTGAGAGCGCTGCTGCGAGTTGATAAAATGTCTTCGATGGTCAGAATCCCCCCCACACTTGCTCTCAGAATTGCCTCATAAATCAACATAATTAATGTAAGACACAATGGTTTTTATACTTGTCAGTATGCTAAATACGTATCTTGGACTTATTCTCAAGGTTAGTCCCTACAGTCGTAAACTGGAAAGATCCTTGCATTTTGTCAATCCTCCTGCCTTGGAGTTCAATCATACTTAATGTTTCTAAAATGGATATGAGTGTTTCGTGATGATTCCCGGCCTTCCCTGGGTCATCTGTTTCTACCTGTAGCTACTACTCTGTGGCGTAACAGTCGTCATCCCCAGGAAATCTTCCTGATCTAAACTTGACATTATTTTGCAACACTTTGAGCAAAATAATATGGCTAATAACGAGGCCTTCCTTAAGCAGTAAGCTTTAAAAATAAAACTATTTTTAGGGCTTTTTTTTATGCTTATAGCAGCAATCCCAGAAAATCAGAAATGTAAAAAGGTTAGAAAGAAGAAAAACATAGTAAGAATTCAGAGTTAGCTTCTATAATGTCAGGCACAGTGCTGAGCATTTTACATGCTTTCCCTCACTTAATCTCTCCATAACCTTATCAATGAAGGTGCTGTGATTATTCCTATTTTGCAGATGAGAACACTGAGGTTATAAACTCTATAATGTATATATGTTCACAGAACCGAGGTTAAAAACCCAGGTCTGTTTGACATCAGAGCTCAAGTTCTTAAATACCATCTTGTATTTCTTCTCCCAACAAAACAAAATAAAATAAAACTACTCTCAGTCCAACTACTCATGCTTATAATGTAATGTAACATTAACTAGTTAGCATTTTGCAATAGCCTTACATTTTGCAATGTAATTTTTAATAGTTTCATAATATTCCTTCATACAGACCATAGCTTAACCGGTCTTCCATCACTGGATATTTCTTTTGTTTTCCTTTATTTTTCCACTATAATTGGTTGCAGTGACACACAAGTCTTTGTGGACTCCTTTATTTTCTTAGTGTATGTTTCTTGAAGTAAAATTACTTAGTCAAAGAGTTTGTTTTGAAGGCTCTTAAAACACATTGCAGACCCATATGTGCCATCTGCATTTATTATCATCTGCATTTATTTATCATCTGCATTTATTACCAAACAAGCACTGTCTCAAGGCATTTACAGGCTAAAACCCAAAAAGTTAAATATCAACATGGTATTTTGGTGCCAAGTCAGGATGCCACTAAACACCCCGAGGTCAGGGGTGCTAATTGTGAACTACATGGCAGAGATCACTGGAGAGGGCAGGCTTCCTCCAAGGGGGTGCATCTACGGGGGTGTTGAAGGGCAGATTGGAGGGAAAATGGTGGCAGCCAAGGTGGGGAAAGGGACAACTGAAAACCCAGAGGCCATAGGAGAAGAAGAGCCTTGAAGGTTGAATAGGGCCATTTATGGAGGGCCTTGAAGTGCCTGGCTAATGTTTGGTCTTTTTCCTACTGTAGTGAGGAATCAAAAAAAAAACAAAAAACAAAAAAACTGAATGTTTCTTTTGTGTATCCATGGTATGTTGTTAAGTGAAAAAAGGATTTTAAAATAAAAGGATGTATACTATGATTGCAGTCTTATAAAATAAAAAGGATGCATATAATACATGTAATTAGGGATATTGTGTAGAAAATATATAGATGAATATATCCCAAAGTGTTACCATGGCTATTCATGGGTACTGAGATTATCAATGCTTTTACATTTTCTTCCTGCATAACTTGAGTTTCTAATTGTTCTGCAGAGGATTGTATTGCTTGCATGATAAGACTGTATCAATTAAGTCATACTGATTTTAAATGGAGCATGGTAACCCACCCCTGACTTTGCAAGAGAGTGTTTATACTGTGTTTGGGAGAGCAGGGGGCAGCGAGGGGGTTCTTATTTATCACAATGGTTGGGCGATGCTAATGGCATTCATTGCGTGCAATCCAGGAATACTAAATGTTCTCTAATGAATGATCCAACCCATACAAGGAAGAGTTTTCTCACTTGAAATGCCAGTATTGGCCCAATTATAAAAACAGTAAGTGTATGGATTAATTAAGAAACAGTAAGTGATGCAGGGTTTTGGTTATAAGCAAAAGAAATAGATCTGGGGGATTTAAGCAGAAAATAAGTTCAATGAAAGGATATTAGCTAACTTACAAAATTTTAAAATGGGTTCTCAGTAAAGAACAAGAACCTGGGTAGCTGGGAGAATATCGACAGTAGAACACACGAGCAGTCTCATCAGGGATCCACCATCAGAATTAATTTTTATCCTTTTCTACTTCTGTCCTTGTGTCCCTTTGCTTCACATCTGGATTCTGATTCCTGGAACAGATACTGAATGCACCAGCTGAAGTCAAAGTCCTTCACCTCTGCCATATGACTGATTCACAGTCCTCCAAGGCTGCATACGATGGCCAAGAGAATCCACTAAAAATAAATCAATATCAGGAGGAATGGATGCTGGTTGCCAAAAGTCAACAAATATCCACTCTAAATCCAGTTATTTTTTATTAAAGCTATTTGTGCAGCCTCTTTTGAGGAAGTATGGTGTAGAGGGTTTAGAATAAGAAGTTCTAAATTCACCCACCCTCACCGTGAGACTTGGCACGGTGGGACACTCCAGCTCCTTGTGAGGGAGTTTGGTTATGGGTGAGGCACTGAGCCAACCATGCGGTCAGAGGCTTTATCATGTCCTCCTCTGGCCCTCCCCATTCCTTCCTCAGGTAGCGGAAGCCATTAATAGCACCACCAACAACTGCCACAACAACGAGACAGTCATTCCGACCCCCACCATGGACTCACGGCTCTATATGCTGGCCTTCCTGCCCGTCCTGGTGCTGCTGGTCTTCATCCGGAACCTCAGGGTCCTGACCATCTTCTCCATGTTGGCCAACATCAGCATGCTGGTCAGCCTGGTCATCATTGCCCAGTACATCGCCCAGGTGGGTGCACACCACACATCTGGCTCCTCACGCAGGAGGGGCCTTTGGATCCATGATAGAGCAGGTGCCAACCCTCCACTCTTCAGCCTAGTACTCACCTACTGTAGCATTTCTCCCACAGAGATGTCTCTGTACAATCTCATTCTTCTGGATATCTCCTTGTTCACGATGTTCTTCCAAACACCTATTTTTATGTCAAATTCTGGCTTTTAAAAAAATGTGCTTTGCAAGGAAAATATCTTGATTGGTAAACTATTGACCATTCCTGTAATAGTTGGCTAGCAGCAAAAGGCAGATGAAAAGCAGGTTCTTGTACTACAGCTAAAACTTATTGAATTGCCCATAGCCTATAATTCCAGGCACCGTAAGTTACTCTGAGGGAAGGCAAGAGGAAAAATCCCTAATATTTAGTCACAGAGGTGTAAATAGTCTCAAAAACCATAAGAAAATCTAATATGATGTTAGTTACAATGTCTTTGAGGTTGAATTTGGGATATCGATTTTCCTTCAATTTCCTAATTCCTTATCCTTTCTAATTTTTCTTTTCAACACTACCTAGAAATTTAAACCTTGGAAACTCCTTGGCATCCCCAATAACTTTCAGTTATTTTTCTCTTTGAGAAGCCACAAGAGAAAAAAAAAGTTATATTGTTTATGAAACTTAGTAAACATAATAAATTAGTCAAACATTTTAGAATAGCTAAGGCTCAATCTTTTATTCCTTAGAAGGTATTGGTGAATTCTAAAATTCTAAAATTGAATTTCCTAATGAGATCGCTAAACTCTGATCCATTTTTTTGGACTATTCCAGAGGTTGCCCAATTAGAAAAATGGTTCTGTAATTATTTTCACCTTCCTGCACACACTCTCCCCTCCTCAATTTACAGCAGATTAAAGAAGAAAAGGGGACTTTCACGTTTAACTAATTACTTTGGGCTCCCTAGACTATTACTGTGACTGCAGTCTATTTAAAGGTACTCTTGGGCACTTTGGGTGGGCACTAATCCGTGGTGTGTAAGATTTTCTTTTGGAGGTTTTTGATAAACCAAACTCCCTCCATGAGATACTGATCCTTCGGTACTTTGTCGGTTCCTCGTGTTTCTGTCCTCTGGTTCTTTGGTATTATAAAGTGCTAAAATCCACTTTGATGGTGGCCTATTTCCCGTTGATGTCTTCTAAACTTCTTGATACTCAATTTTAAAAAAATTAGCTTTCCTCTCAGAGGACCCTTCTCTTCAAGGCGCTCAAATGGTCTTTGAAAGTGACTATCTTATTGCATTTCTCTCCCCTACAGGACATTCCGGACCCCAGCCAGTTGCCACTGCTGGCAAGCTGGACGACCTACCCTCTCTTCTTTGGGACAGCCATTTTTTCATTCGAAAGCATTGGCGTGGTAAGGTTGGAATTGGGGTGGCCGTTCCCTGGTGCTGAAAAGGAGCTGTGAGCTTGGGGTCTCTGTGCCCTCCTGGCCATTGTGTTGGGCCTGCTGGAAAATGCACATGGGAGAAAGTGACCTCTGCTCCCACTTGGGTCGGTTGTCACCAGCAAGAGAGAAATAGATTACAACAGAGAAGCCGGCAGGAGACAGTTCTAGTTTCGTCCCAATACATCTGTTAAACATGCACCCTCCTATCGACATGAGTTTTCTAGTCTTTCAAAATCAACTCTAAAAATGGTGGCATACAATTTAAATTCAGGGATTTGACTAAACATACAGGAGTTTTAAACTGGAAAGTACTGTGTGTTTACAATCCATTGTTATATAGTCTCTACTTCCACATTTGAGGAAGGGTAGTGCTGTCTACATTTTTTTTTTAATATAAAATACTTTAAAATTTACATACAGAAAAATTTACTTTTTCGTGGACATTCCTGTAAGTGTTGAGAAATGCGTAGAGTTGCAGTTACACCACTGTGAGGACACGAAACAATTCCCTCCGCACAAAAAGCTCCCTCATGCTGCTCCTTTGTAGCCTTCCCCGACCACTAACCCCCGGCAACCGCCTTCTGTTCTCTGCCTCTGTTGGTTTCTCTTTTCTAGAACGTCACGTACGTGAGATTATACAGTGTGTAACTTTCAGAGACCAGCTTCTTTCACTCGGCCTAATGAACTTGAGCTTTATCCGTGTTGTCACGTGTGCCAATAACTTGTTGCTTTCTGTTGCAGAGTGTCCACTGTCTGGGCAGTACCACAGTTCATCAACTCACCTGTTGAAGAACATTTAGGTTGTTTCTAGTTCTTGGCAATTATTAATAATGCTGTCGTAAGCATTCGTGTACGGGTTCTTGTGTGAATGTTAATGTGTTCATTTCTCTAGGAGTGGGATTGGTAGGTCATATATGCATGGATCGTTATAAGAAATTGCCAGTTTTCCAAATTGGCTGTAGCATTTTGCATTCCCACCAGAAGGTCTGAGTGTTCCAGGTGTTCTGCCTTTGGTAGCAATTGGACGTATCATCAGTAGTTGTTAATATTTCAGCCATTCTAATGGGTGTAGTGGTATTTGATTGTGACTTAATTCCCATTTTACTAATGAACAATGATTCTGAGCAACTTTTTGTGTGCTCATTTGGCATCTGTATGTCCTCTTTGGTGCAATGTCTGTTCAAATATTTTGCAAATTTTTGAAAAACTGAGTTATTTTCTTTTCGTTGAATCTTAAGAGTTATTTATGTATTCCAAATGTAAATATTTTATTGGATCTGTAATTTCTAAATATTTCTTCAGTCTCAAGCTTCTCTTTTTATTCACTTAACAGTGTCGTTTATAGAGCAAAAGCTTTTAATCTTTATAAAGTCATATTTATCAAACATTTTCTTATAGATCCTGCTTTTTTTTTTTTTTTTTTTTTGAGACAGAGTCTCACTTTGTTGCCCAGGCTAGAGTGAGTGCCGTGGCGTCATGCCTACCTCACAGCAACCTCACACTCCTGGGCTCAAGCAATCCTGCTGCCTCAGCCTCCCAAGTAGCTGGGATTACAGGCGTACACCACCATGCCAGGATAATTTTTCTACTTTCAGTAGAGATGTGGTCTTGTTCTTGCTCAGGCTGGTTTTGAACTCCTGACCTCGAGCAATCCACCCGCCTCGGCCTCCCAGAGTGCTAGGATTACAGGCGTGAGCCACCGCGCCCGGCCTTAGATCCTGCTTTTGATGTTATAGTCAAAAGCACTTTGTCTAACCCAAAGTGAAAAAGATATTCTTTTATATTTTCTTCTAAATGTGTTATAGTTTTAATTGTACATTTAGATCTATGATTTAGTCTGAGTTAATTTTTGTTCAAGGTGTTTATAGGTTGAAGTTTATTTTTTTAATAAGATGCCCAATTGTTCCATCATCATTTGTTGAAAAGACTATGATAAGTCGACTGCTAATGCGGGTAAATGGTATATTTTTCAGGTGATCGAATGTTCTGGATACGTGGCTGATACATGCTCAATATTGTTAATGACTATAAAGCCCTGAATTGATACCTTTAAAGTGAGTTTTATGTTGTGTTTTTTCTGTTTGGTTTTTTTTTGAGACGAGAGTCTCACGATTTGTTGCCCCACGCTAGAGTGCACGATGCCGTGCGTCGCCCTGGCCACAGCAACCTCAATCTCTCGGGCGCTTCAGCGATCCTACTGCCCTCAGCCTCCCGAGTACTGGACTACACAGCCCCATGCGCACCTCAATTCCGCTAATTTTTGCGATAATAATTTTTACGTTGGTCAATTACTTATTTCTAATTTTTGGTAGAGACGGGGTCTCGCTCAACGCTGGCTCGACTCCTGCGACCCTTGAGCAATCCGCCGCTCGGCCTCCCAAAGCTGCTTAGGATTACAGGCGTGAGCCACCTACGCCCCGCCCCGCTGTTTTTGTTTTGAACAGAGCTCCTCACTGTTGCTCAGCGCAAGAGAGGCCTATTCATAGCAACCCTCAATCCCTGGGCTCAAGCGATCCTTCTGCCTCAGCCTCCAAGAGCTGGGACTATGGCATGCACCCACCATGCCCGCTAGATTCTCTAATACCTACTCACAATCAGTGGCCAATTACCATTTGTTCTATTTAGTAAAGAGACGGGTCTTGCTCTTGCTCAGGTGGTTTGAACGCCTGACCTTAAGCACCTCACTCCTGTCTCGGCTCCCAGAGTGCTAGGATAGCAGACGTGAGGCCTAACGCAGCCGCGCCCTGGTGAGTTTCATGTTATTGATGTTTATCTCAGTAAAAGCAATTAGAGGAGGAATATATGTCGATCACCAGAAGTCAATAAAAAAACGTGGAGGCAGTTATACCAACAATGTTTAAGTACAGTTCCTTTATCAAGACCAGATTCGATATGGTGAAAAGAAGACACAATTGCGATCATATACCTGAGGTCCAGAATTGACAATACACAGTATGCCAACTGAACTTACTGACAAAGATCAAAACAATGAAATAGAAAAAGTGATAGTCCTTTTCAACAACATGATGGACACAATTGGCATTATAAAAATGATACCTTCAACCTATAAACACGTTGAACAAAATAACTCAACTAAATCATCACCAGACCTAAAGTCAACTTAAAATATAACCTTAGAAGAAAATGACTAAGGAAATCTTTCTCACTTTGGGTTGGACAAGTGCTTTAACTATAATCCAAACCAGATCTATAAGAATGTTGAATACCGACCTAAACCGATGAAAAGCTTTCCTCATAACGACAGCTGTAAGGTATAAAAAGCAGAGCTTCGAGACTGAAGAAATATTAGAATACGATCGCAACCAATATCTGTCACATTGGAATACCCAAAAATTCTACATACAACAAAAGAAAAACTCAGTTTCCAAATGCAAATATTGTAGAACACTTCACCAAAGAGGACATACAGATCCAAATGAGCACACACAAGTTGCTCCAACACTTGTCATAGAAAAATGGGAATAAGCTCAGCAATCAAGATCCACTACACCATTAAAGCGGCTAAATATAACCACGTACTGACCCCGATACGCTCGGCAATTGCTCACCAAGGCAAACACCTGGAACACCATACCTCTGGTGGAATGCAAAGAGACAGCCAATTTGGAAACTGCAAGTTTTATAACGATCCATGCATCATTTGACCTACCCAATCCCCACTCCTAGAGAACTGAACACGTTAACTTGACACAACCTACACGAATGCTCCACGACCAGCATATTAATAATTGAAGACGAAACAACTAAACGTTCTTCAGAGCCAGGTGAGTTTGATGAACTGTAACCTGGCCCAGACAAGTGGAACTACCTGCAACAGGCAAAATTATGGCACACGTGACAAATCGATACAGCTCAAGTTCATTAGCCCAGTGAAAGAACTGGTCTCCTGAAGTTACCACACTGTTATAAGATCTCCTACGTGACGCTTCGGAAAAGAAACAACGCGCGGAGGCAGAGAAAGAAGGCGGTTGCCAGGGGTAGTGTCCGGTGGAAGGCTACAAGAGCAGCATGAGGGAGCTTGCGGAGGGAATTGTTTCGGTCCCACGGCTGGTTGTAACTGCAACTCTACGCATTTACTCCAACCGCACTAAGGAGTCACGAAAAGAGTAGAATTTTGCTGTAGTAAATTTTAAGTATTACATTAATTAAAACAAATGAGACAGCACTCACTTCCTCAAATGTGAAGTAAGAACTATAACAAATGGACTTGTAAACACACAGTAATCTTCTCCATAAAACTCCCTGTAGTCTAGTCAAATCCCCCCAACCGACCCACCTCATAGTGAATTTAAATTGTATGCCCACCATTTTAGCAGTTGATTTTGAAAGACAGAAAAACCTCATGTCGTAGGAGGGTCATTCCACCGATATGGACGAAACTAACTGTCTCCTGCCGCTCCTTTTAATCTATTTCCTCTCCGTTGCTGATGATCAACCGACCCAAGTGGGGCCCAGAGTCACTTCTCCCATGTGCCATGTTTCCAGCGGCCCAACGACAAAGAGCCAGGAGCGGCAACAGAGACCCCCAAGCTCCAGCAGCTTCCTTTTCAGCACCCAGGAGCCCACCCCAACCAACCTTACAAATGCTTTCCGACCAGAGAAAATGGCTGTCCCAAAAAGGAAGGGGGTTCGTCCCTTGCCAGCAGTGCCATACGGCTGCGGCCGGAATGTCCTAGGAAGAAATGCAATAGGCACAGTCACCTTCAAAGCATCTTGAGCGCTGAAAGAGGGTCCTCTGAGAGGAAAGCTGATTTTTTTTAAAATGAGTATCAAGGAAGTTTAGAAGAGCCCGGCGCTGTGCTCACGCCTGTCCACGCTAGCTCTTGGGAGGTTCGAGGCGGCGTTGCCAAGGTCAGCGAGTTCAAAAACAGCCCTGAGCAAAGCGACCGACCCGACCTTCGTCTCTACTCATAAATCTGCAAAAACGATTCCAACCTGATTATACT